TTTCTTTTTCTTTTTCTTTTTCTTTTTCTTTTTCTTTTTCTTTTTCTTTTTCTTTTTCTTTTTCTTTCTGTTTAATCACTCTGAGGCTCTTTACATTTGTCCAAGTTGTTAGTAAATCCACCAGACCATTCTTTAGGCTGTCCTCCCCCTAACACCAAAATTTACAGAGTTCTCTGCCAAATCAATAATTTTTTAGATGAAGTTAAAAAGAAATCAGTCTTCCATGGTGGTCACTAGTGACTTGTGTCTGAAAGGTAACTTAACTGTGAACAGAATTGACTGTAGCCTGCCTTTCCTTCTAAAACATTTAGAAACCTTCATAAAAGTTGGGGACAGGTAGGTCTGTCTTGCTTTTATCTTTCTGACAGTCATATTGAAAAGAAAGGTCTTCCTTGAGAACACTTGCTGGTCTTTTATTCCTATTTCTATGTTGACCTCCTGTACTGAAAATGTGTTCTCCAAGAGCTTTTTGTCTATGAGAAAGCATACAAAGAATTTATTGAATGATCATTGACTCCTTATTGCTCAAAGCTTTCTATAGGGAAGAAGGCCATTAAACTTGACTAATCTTCCTTTTACAAATATCATCATTTTAATCAAAGTTTCAATGCTTCCTGGAAGCTCAGTGAAGAATCAAAGCCCTTCTGAACAGCTGTGACATAAAAATGGTGAGTAGCAGAAACTATGAGGATTTCAGGCATATATGGTTGTCATTAACAACATCCTAACCATCATCACTGCCAGAGCTGAGAGAGTTAAAACACTCCAATAGGAATTCTATCCAGGATTTTTGAACTGCTTACTCTAGAATCATATTGCAGAAGTTGGATTTGTACATATAGCAATAAGAACAGATTATTTGATATTTTCTTTAACCAAACTGATGGGGCTTCCCTACAGGTTCCACAGATACAGTGTGCAGAGATTTTGCTTGTGGAAAACTTGCAAATGGCAGCTTTGGGTGAGTAAGCCTCAATGTTTTCTTTATGTGGCTGATCTCTATGAGATTAAAACTTCTTAAACCACTAGTAATGTTTCCTGGCTTCTCTTCCCAGCCAAATCACATGGATGCTTTTCACTGTGGTGTTAAAAAAAAAAAAAAAAAAAAAAAAGATTAGAAAAGTTGTTTCAAGAGATGTGCATTTAAAATCTGATCATTTTTCATTTGCAAGAAAACAGTGCAACTTTGCTCAGCTTAAAGTGTTCTGATTTTTTTCATGAAGCCTTTTATTATCATCTGGCTAGGGCTCAGAATATGCTTGACAATGACAGATACTTTGTATAATGAGAAGGCTGTTAGACCTCAGAATGACAGGTCAGGGTTGATTCTGTTGTCAAGTCATCCACATCACTCCCACGACAAAGGGAAACGCTGCGTAGGACTGTTTCAAGAAGACATTCATCATGAGTGATGAATGTGGCTCCAGTGTTTCTTTCTGCCAATTTAAAAATAGTGTTGATTAAGAGCTGAAAACTAAATCCAAGTGCCCGTCTTACAAAAGAATACATTGTTTATACTCTTGGTTCATTGTAACGTAGTTCTGAGAGGCAAAACCTTGTCTTTTGAAGACTTCAGTGATCTCAAAACCATGATACAGCCCCAAGTGACATTTTGTCCACAGAAAAGACCAAACAATTTACTTTTCAACAGTTCTTTTAGTTGGGAGCAGTCTCTGAGCTGAAGACATGTTTGCCTTTGTGGGCCAAGATACTCTTGATTCTCTAAGAGTCAGTTGGGAAGTCAGATGCAGACGTTGGTAAGCAGAGGGAGTGTTTAGATTTGAAATAAACACTCATTTGTGCACAGTGGTACGGCTTCTGTTTAACATTTTGTTATGATTTTGTTGCTTGTGGTTGCAATGAGAGGCCAGAGTTGTTTGTTTGTCATGAATAATGTGCACATCCTGTGACTGTTTATTGTAGCTGGCCTATCTGTATTCTCTGAGCAAATCAGAAGCATCTGGAAAATAATAAACCACAGAAACAGTTGTTAGGGTAAGAGATGGAAATCTAATGCTTTCGGAAATAGAAAATGAAAACCTTCAGACGGTAATGGAAAGCATGCATAAGCTGAAACAGGAAAGAACAGATTCACATCAAGTTGACAAAAACTGCTTGAGATACTTCCTCAGTCTTCTTTCTCCCCTCACTCTCAGTCTGAGTACATTGGTTTTCACCTACTGATGAGTAAGCAAAGAAGTGGAGCTCCATTACCTTTATGTGGTGGATACCCAGGTCTCTCTACCTTCCAAGAGCTGTGCTGTGTAAACCTGGTCTTTTGTTTCAGTGCAAATGCTATAAAAGGTTTCAAAACCCATATGGATGGTGCAAACTGATCATAGACATAATTTTCTGAGAAACTTCTTTAATTTCAATATTCAGTAGCGGGTGCATTTTTTTTTCACCTAACTAATATGAGCAATTCTGGCTCAGATTTCCAGACACTATTTTTATTGGGAGTGGGTGGGGAGAAGAGAGAATTCATACAGTTCTTGAATTCTGAGACTGATTGTTGTGCTGCAGCTGCCAGGTGACATGTGTGATGGTTTCAGTCTGAGGTAGGCTCCCACCCTTAGTTGCATTCCCTCTGTGATCCACTCACCTTTCAGAAACTGCAAAGCCTGGTGTGCTGCTCTCAGCACCTCCTGGGATGGGGTCTTAACCAATGATTAGGGATTTTTGCAGCCCGCACTGTGTATGACAGTCACTCAGCCTCCTCCAAAACCTTTTCCAGGGTAACCTTTTTCTGTACAAGACTGTCTTTTCCCAGGAGTACCTGCCCAGGCCTGCCCTTCTCTAGACTGACTCTACATCTGACAGGCCTGAAGAGCAGCAAACTGGAAATTACTGTTTTAATAAGTGCCCCTCTGTAGTTTTTGTTGCACTTCCTGTCAGAAAGCATTTCTCCTTCTTCCCACCCCTCGCTTCTTCTTTTCACTAAAATAATTGAGCACCATGTGATGTTCATTCTGTTGGGTGTATTCCTTCTCAAATGTGTCTTGGCATCCATCTTGCTGAAGCAAGAAACAGAGTTCTCTAATTGTGGAGCAAACCTATCCTTTATTGCTGTGGGGCTATGCAAAGCCATGACAGTGCACCCTCAGCAGCTGCTGCTGCCAACCCAATCTACCTGCTGAACAGAAACATGCACATAGTGTGTGTGCAATCAGGTTATGACCCACTTCTCTGTAACCCACTTCAGGAGTGAGCACCTCTGAAAGTGGAGAGTGGACAAAACTTGGTTGCCTACAGCTCTGTGCCTTGTGGTTTACTTTGCTGGTGCCAAAGACAGAGAAGACAACAACTGACATGGTTTCTGTGCTTGAGAGACATCATGAAAACCTGTGTGAACCTCTGTGTCATTTCCCTTGGTGGTAGCTGCCTCTCTCCCTCCTGTTGCCAGCTGATGCCTTGAAAAACTTCTAGGAAATTGCTGTCTTTTTAAATTTTTGCATTGGTGAAATGTGGCTCAGTGTGAGGATGGGGCACTGCGAGGATAATTATATGAAGCAACTCAGAGAAAACTAATGATTGTGTAAGCTTCTTTTCCTTAGGAAACTGAAAAAAAAAAAAAAAGAAGAAAAGAAAAAAAAAGGTCTAAATGCTATAGATCATGATGTATTGTTTTCCTCTGCATAGGCTCTCTCCATTTATAACAGCGCCCAATTCTGTCTCTATGCACACATGGCATTTTTAAGCTGCTAATCTGAAATTTCTGAATGAGGATAGAGTCCTGGTGTACTTTCAGAGAGAAGGCTGCTACCAACTGATTTGCAAGGAGGGAAGATGTGAGCCTCACAAATTACTGCAGAATGTTCTCATGTCGGCATCCTACAACAAGGCCACCCAAGTGCCAGGTGGATGGACACCGACAGAACATCCTCAATAGCAGGCTTGTGTGAAATTGAAATTGCTTCACAGGGTGCTCAGAAGCTCCTATGCAGCCAGACATGAGGAGAAGTAGCTGCCCCTAGCAGGTCAGACTTTGCTTGCTTGTGTGTTCAGCCAGTTTTCTTTCAGGCAAATGCCTGTATTTGTGTGTGGCTGCAAGCATTTATTTCCCTAGTTACTGAGTGCAGTTATTTGTTGATTACTATTCATACTTTTTCTTTTGGACTGTTTCAGTCACAGGTTACAAAAGCAGATATAATGCCAGCATGCAAAACAACTTTAACAAATTATAAACAGCTGAACAAAACTATTTGCAATGAACTTGGGCTAAAAGCTATTTTGACACCCATCTGGTCAAAGAAGCTGAAAGCCACAAACATTCTTGAGAATCAAGGCTGTCTCACTAATGAATTACAGACTGCAAAATATTTGCAAACCTATTTCATTTCACTCTTCTCAGTAACTCATTTCAAAAATCTCTATGGCTCTGCTTTATAGAATATCTATGACCCGAACTTGATGAGCACATTTGAGAATCCAGATGCATGTGGTTTAGGAGCTGATGACATATAATTCAGTACAAGAACCATATTGGTGCATTTCTTGTGGTTTGGTCCCATAGGCAGAAAGCCTAGGGCTCATGTAACTGTGCTTTTCCCACCATAACTGCTTCTACGCTAGCAGTTTAACTGTATCGGTACACATACAGTTCTAACAAAACCCTGTATGGCTCTCAGCAGCAGCCATCTCCCTTTTATACAGGAGCCAGAAGTTCCTTTGAATGAGGATATTAGAATCACTTGAACCTGCAGCTTTCAAACTGTGGTTGCACTGCAGGTCCTGCAGCACTTTGTTTGACAATTGGAGACAGGAAAATAGATAAGCAAAGTACTTTCAGCTGGGAAATGGGCCTTGCCAACTTAATTTCTTGTTTCAAGAGAAATACAGAGCTATTCTCATTTCTCTGTCTTAGGAGACAAAAGTTCAGAGAAGAACAGAGCGGTACCTTCTCCTTGAAAAAACAAATACATTCTGTGGCTCAGGTTGCCTATCTTTGTGAGTATCTGTGAGGAAGAGAACTGTTCACATTCTTACATTCAAAACTCTGGCTAGATACTAGACTGCACACAACATGATGTTAAAAAGGTTTTTTTTTTTGCTTTCAGTGCCCCATGAAGACTTGCCACTATATTACATCTACTAAATTGCCATCAGCACTGAAAACCAGCAGCACCTGGTGGGTAGGAAACGTGTACGTTTTATAGTTCAAGGGTTTTAAAGTTCTTTTGCAGTGTTTTGATTATGAACCTTCCTTATCCCTTTTGCTTTCATGAGGTGGTTGCCCAGGGCGCTAGACTCTATATAAAGGCCACTTCAGCCAGGATTAGTGTGATACACCTACACCTACAAAAACAGTAGGCTAGAAAAAGATGGGTGGCTTGCTCTAAATGAAGTTGTTTTTCTTGTAAACTAAACTAAACTAAATAAATTAATAAATAAAAGGTTGAGGCAATTGGGATATCTAGCAATGCCTATCAGATATGACTTCTTTGATATACATGGAACGGTGCTAATCTAGCTGAGGATGGATACAGGGGTCTTTCTTCAGTGCAACAATAATCCCATTATTTGATGCTGCTGATTCCTGTGTTGTGGCCTAATCTAAACTCCTGTCAGATATTTAATTCTAGGAATATCTTCTCATTGTGGTTCTTTTCCTGTAACCTTTTCCCTTTTAACATAAAAAGGGGGGATAATGATGTAGATTAAATACTTTTTGCTTATTATAATCGTCTGTGTGCACCATTAAGCACGTATAGTGGTTGATTTGGTTTTTTAGCTTTGTGTAATTCACGTCTGATTTCTTTTCCTCATAGGAAAGCTGAAGTGGTTATTAGCTGGAGCACAGCACAAAAGAAATATTAGGGTATTACCTAGGGAACAATGAATGACATTGCAAAACTCCTTGTAGTTATGACTGGAACTGAATATTTTTGGTTTTCCCAATTTTGTTTCCTTACAGAAAAAAAAACCCAAGCAAACAAAACCAACAGCAACTTTCATTCACATTGCCATGAGTTGCATCAAGCATAAAGCCACAAATGTTAACTGTGTTTCTTATTTATTTATTTATTTGTTTGCTTGTTTTTCAAAGAGAAGAATAACATCAGCTGATTTGGTGGAAAGCTCTTGGAAAAGACTCTGACCCTCTTTTTCATTTCTCTGTGTAGAATTCAGGCCAGAACAAAAAAAGCACTGTTTGTTCCCAGGCTAATAAAAATCTCCAGAGAGCCATGATCTTTAATACATCCTGGTGGAAGCAGATGAAGTTAAGTAGTATAAAATGTAAAGTCCCCAAAAGATGAACAGGAGGAACTTTTACTGGCAGTGGTGCACTAACATAGAAAGAAGCTTCAATTTTTTAATAAGTATGAGGATGCCAAAAGTCACCACAGTGACACTGAGCTGGAAGGAAAGTTAGTGACAAGCCTGGCTTACCAGGTGAGGGATCTTCTGTGTAAAGGCAGGTATTGTACACTTCTACAGGCGTTCTTTAATTAAATATATAGCTTTGGTTACCTGTGCTCCAGAGGGATTAATTAATTAAACTGCAATAGGCGCTACTCACATGAGAATAATGGCATTTCTTCCTGAGAAAGATTCATGAAAAGACACTGGTTTTGGAAACAGAGAAATTAAAATTGGAATGAGATATGATGGCTCTTTATAAAAGTGTTTCGGGAAACAGGAAAAGGACAAAAATTGTGGAAGCAGAAGAGGTATTTAATTTAAATGACACTACTGGCACAAACCCAATTGGCTAGAAATTGGTCATGAGGAAGTTCAGGCTTCGAACTAGTAAAACCATTCAAAGAATGAAGTTCTGTATCAGTCTCTCGGGCAATGTTATGATGGAAAGGATCTGAATTGTTTTTTTTAAAAACAGAACGTACTGAGTTATTGATATGATTGTGAGGAGGAAAATTCTTAGTGACAGACAATAAGACATCCTTGGATAACCATGAGCAATCAAGTCCAAAGGGATTGGAAAGGTGACTGATTGTTCTCATTCTCCATTATTAAACCCATGCCTGGGTGCTCCTGCAGATGGAATAAAGGGACCAGGGAGAAAACCCTTTCCCTGCTCCATCCAGGAGGTTGGCTACAGAGAGATTGTGGCAGGAGGTCCGCTGAAGTAAAAATCTGGTACTGTTCAAATGACTGGTGGAGGGATGGAACACTCTCTTTTTGTGTTTGGGTTAACTAGTCCTGTGATTTAGAACTGAGAAAGAAATTTTCTACCAGCCAAGAGAGCAATGCTTCCTTCTTTCCACTGTCCCACTTGAATAAGGCACAGTCCACTTTCAAGACCTGCGTGGGAGTTTCTCATGATAGCCCTCTTCTATCACGAGTAGGGAGAAAGAGGCATTTTCAGGGAGTGCTTCATTTGGCCTAAATAACACATTTCCTTAAGGATTAGGTGAAGAGTGCCCTAGAATTGCACAGTCCTCTTTGTTACCTATATTAGGAGCTGAGGTGGGTAGTTACAAAACAGAAGAATCCTTTCATCATGGGCAGTGTATGGCAAGGGGAAAATGGTTTTTTTTTTTTTTTTTTTTTTGGTTTGGTTTGGTTTGTTGTTTTTTTTTTTTCCCAGAATAGATGCTATGATGACTTTTCCCAGGGAAACAAGCATTTAAGATAGGAGGAATTAAGTTCTTCAAATTATCAGTTTCCTTGACTATCAAAAACTGCCATCAGCTCTGAACTCATCAGTCTCTGACTTTGATGGGCATCAGGGAAGACTTTACTATCAACCTTTATGGAAGAAGAGCTGAGCTAACATGAAAGCAGTTTTGTGTGTGAGTCTACATGTGGCTAGCACTGTAAAACAAGACAACAATACTTGCAGCTTTCCTGAGATATGCTGATTTACATCATGATAAGCTGCCCAGTTAATTCAGGGACCTTTTACAGCACTTTCCTTGTTTGATTATGATGATCTTACACATGTGAATGTTTGTGCGTGTACGTGACCTGCATGTGTAAGCATTTACTATGAGACAGCAAGAGAAAATGCATGTTGTTTGTCACTTAAAAGGGATTTACTTATTTTTTTCTCATAGAATATAATCTTGCTTTGCAAGCATTTTTCTTGTAAGAATGCATGCTGAAAATGTTTATACTTTGCTTCCAAAAATAAACTACCAAGAATGTAGTATAAAAATCTTTAACTTCTGGTGTAGTAACAGTTTCTGATATATCAGAGATGCATGAGTGTGTTTTGACATCACTGAAGCTGAAAGTTAGTAGAAACAAGGAGATAACTTATATCTCAACTATAGCAACAAGACAGAATTGTGAATTGAAGCAATCTGGAAGTCTCCCGAGGTTCTTTTATTACCTCTTTGCATTCATCTCCTATCTTTTCTGGAATAGGAGTTAAGGTGTATTATGAGAAAGCTGGCAGGAAATGGCCTCAGTCAACAATTAGCTTAGAAGTGAATTCATGAATCTGATGTGCAAAATAGCACACCACTGCCTTCTTTTAGATTTGGAGGCAGGATGGCAAATATGAAGTAATCTCCTGAGTGACACCACGGCTCATGTAGGCTAGTGCTAGAGATACTGCTTCTGACAAGCTCTAAAGGTATTCTTACCTACCAGAAAGAGTTTCCTTATTTTAGTATTCTTGTTTTGTTTTCTTTAATATAGCCTGCCAAAGTAGGAAGGAAATGCCTACTTTCATAAACAAAGTACTTCCGTGAGTGAAATCCATCCCTAAGCTGCTGATGTGTCAGTCACCTCTCCAGAAAAAATGACATGTTTGGTGTGGCTGACTGACAGATTCATCCAGGGTGTCTGAATGTGTTTGAGTTGGTTCATGATGGGTTCAGCCTGGGGAAGGGTGGGTGGAGAAGGACAAAAGCAAAGTTTCAGTCTTAGCTCAACTGATATGTTAAATCAAAAGTTCAGTCTTGATTTGAAGGCATTGGTTACAATTGTGGTTGCTAGAATAATTGTTTAGTCCCTAAAATTAGAAGGTAGGATTAAATTGTGTGGACTTTAACCTGGCAGCAGAACTATCAGGGAGTTGTGGTCTGCGTGCTGTCCATATCCAGTGCATGAGGGACCATCTACTTATGTCAGCAGTTGCTGCAGCTGCAATTGGGAGATTACTTAGGAGGATGCAGGGAGGGCTCCTACGCAGGCTTGCTGCCTGGGATATTTCTCCCTATGGAAATCTGAACTCCAGTGACACACTGGTGGAAAATGGGAGTCTGGGCTTAAATCGGAGCTATGGGAGGGTTCTACAGCCAGACCAAATACTGCTTACATGTGAGGGTAGAATGGCAGTGCTCTTTAGGGGAGCAATCAGGCTGCCATTGGCAGTCTTGGAGCTGTTAGCACAGTACTTTATGCCCTTGCTGGAGCTTTACAATCCAATCTAGGAGTTAAATTGCAGAGGAAGCATTGCAGTGAAGGTTATAACAACACAGTGAAGATTTCAGTTTGACACTAACCTATCTCTGTTGTTTTCCACAAGATCCTATAAGCTTTCAACTTACACCTATAATCACATCAAACTGATTTTGCTGTGTTGATCACTGTTGAAACAACTCAGCCATTGTGCAACAATCGAGATGTGTGTGAACTGAAGTGCTCTAAGCTCCTGAAACAAAGAGCAGAGGAAAGGAAAGTGTTTTGGTGTGCACGTGAGAGGGCCACCATGCTGACGGCTCGCAAGGGCTGGGCCATGACTGAGGGTGGTGGGCAAGCTGCCTCTATGGCTGCCCTTAGTGGAGGCTCCAGTCTGTCCCTGACATGATCCAAGTGACTGCGTTGCAACCTGCTGGCCTTGGATTTCAATTAATTGCAGCTGCTATAAAAGGTACAGCCTTCCTTTTTTTGCTTACAGCTGTTGGCAAGAGAAACAAATTTCTATTTATAACTGTTTTCACGCACTTCCCTGCCCAAGGCTTCCTTATGTTTGTGGAACGTGCAGACTGGACAGCGGTGATAAGTTACTGTTACTTATGTCTGTGGCTTTTCACCTTCCTTACTACCAAGACATTACACAGCATGCTTGTGAACTAAAGAGCTCAAACGAACAAATCACCTTAGCCTCTCTCTGTGTTATTTCTATGCCAGGTAAATCAATAGATATTGGCTTTGCAATCCAGCTCAGCCATAATGGTTTGCTTTAAAA